GACAGAGATCACAATCTTGTTACAACAATCTTTGTGATCAAAAGTACATTATTATAGCCAGTAGAATAACCTACAGTGTTTGAAGCAAGGTTGACAAGAGTTTAAAATCATTATCAAGGCTTAAAAACAATGGTAGAGATCACAATCAGTGAAACTTGGTTCAAAAATCGAAAGAACTTTAAATCTGTTAACGTTTGTATTCCCTGGTTCATAATTAAGTGTTGTGTTTGTAAGCATGCCTTTTTCTTGTTCACTTCTTTGTTTGATTCAGGCACCATCCACGTACAAGTCAGAGTTTCTTTGCCATTTTATGCCTCATGCATAGTCTGGACTTGTTCTTACTGTCTTGAGCTGTCTCCCTGCATTTGTAGGCCTGTAAATTTGGTGACACAAACACCCCTGTCACTGTTGTTCAGACAGAATCTGTCAGTTTGGACCTGAGGACAGAGCGACTTAATTTTATGGATGACATCCTCCGAAGACCCCCACCAGTGTGTGTTTTTTTTTTTTTGCAGAATCTGTCAGACTAGTTCTGTATGAACAACTATGAAAGAGGTGCTAGTGTCACGGAAATGAACAGAAACCTACAGTGGGTGTCACTGGAAGACAGAAGAAAAATGTCCAGACTATGCATGATGTACGTAATGACTAATAAACTGGTGGACGTCCCAATTACTAAGTAACTAATACCAGCCCAGAAGAGAACAAGAAATAGTTATGCCATCAATATGCAAGTACCAGAGTTATCAACCAAGGATTGAGGTGTTCAAAAATTCATTCTTTCCTAGAACTATCTTACCAATTACAGTAGGGGCAATGTCATTAGATAGCTTTAAACAATGTCTAGAGTTAGATGTTCAAGGGTTAGGTGTAACAAGTCAATCGGTGTGATGTAGCCAGCTGCCTCCAAAGGGCGGTTATACCAGCTATACAGATACAGATAGTTTTGTAAACTGTACCTTCCCCAGTTTTCCTATGATCAGTAATGGTATGATGTGGAGCAGACATGCCCCCGTTAGTTCCAGGGTTGTACCTGCCTGATCGATGGTTGTGGTTACATGTCATCCTAGGCTGGGTTATTGAATGTAAATTGTCAGGTTGTTCACTCTAATGTAAAATCAATCTGTATAGGTAAGGTCTGGAAAAAATGTTTTCTTCCTGTTTCTTGACCAACCCTAGAAAAAAACTGTTGACCCTAGCCTTTTCTTTGGTGATCCCCTGCAAGGGACATAAATTCTTTGAGCTGATCAACCTTTTCTAGTCCCATGATGTGACACCTGAGTGAAGAAACATTGCACAATCAGTTTTTCAACATTGACATTCAAAATATAAGTGTTAAACTGTATTCTATCACTAAGTTGCATAGAAAAAAATTAAAGAAAAAGATACTCCCTGCCTACTGACCATAATTTTTTTTGGTCTGAAACAGGAAACACAACATTTTTTTTCTAGGCCTTACATGTCATCCTAGGCTGGGTTATTGAATCATGTAAATTGTCGAGTTGTTGACTGTAATGTAAAATCAATTTGTAGGTAAACACTTTATGTCAAATATTCAGCAATGTAACGATTTTGAATTTGAAGCAGGTCGGTACATGTGTACAGTGACAGCTCTTTCTGTAGGCCATATAAATTTAATTTGCTGGGTCGTGGACTTTGAAGAAATATTTCTTAGCTGGAAGATTGAGAGTTGAACAGATCTTGAGGACAAGTTTATGTCTTGATGACACAGTTGGGTTGTAGAATCTTCAATTTCTTGTTCAATATGGTTTTCTTTAAGAACAGCAATTTCAGCACCAAGGACAGGGATAAAATACCTAAATTACAGTACTTTATATTCGTGGTACTTTTCTAATTACGGCACTTTTATATTTGCGGTTTTCCTGATTATTTCTGGACCTTAATTCATTACCATGAACAAATAATTCTCCAACTTCCTTTTTTCTGCATCTGTCGCCACCTTGAACATGTAGTTCTGCAAACATGTCCATTTTTCTCAGACCGTGAAATTTTGCTACCACAAATACATTTGTATAAATTTTTTAATTATTTTGATTTAGAGTACTGTATCAGCCTAACTGTGCCAGTGCAGGTATACAGCAAAAAGGATTTCCAGCCCTGCCTATGGTTGGATTTCCATCTGTAGAAAATTTAAACAGGTGTCATACACTTGGAGTACAGTTGTCAGGTCAGACTAAGCTTGTCATATCCGCCCCATGTATCACCTCCCACGTTTGACTACAGGCTGACTCACAGTCAATCCTTACAGTTTTCATTATCACAGATTGCAGAACACCCACATAGTCAGCCCTGGTGTACTGAAACACCTACATGGGGCCTGCATGGGGGGGTCCCGACATCAGTGCAGATTGCAGAACACCGACATAGATAGCCCTGCTGCCTCCTACACATACATGGGGGTCTGCATGGGGGGGTCCCAACATCAGTGCAGATTGCAGAACACCCACATAGATAGCCCTGGTGCCTGATACACCCACATGTGGCCCAGGGATCTTTTCACAGAGATTGATTAGCAAGCCAATAGGAGCACAAACCTATACCACTTATTTCTGAAACAGAAAGCTCCATAAATAATTTCATCAGGTTGGTAAATGATTGTATACATTAGTGAAGTTACATTAAAAGTTACATGAGCCAAAAAATGTAAAACTAATGGTTGTGAATAAAAGAACTTCACTCTTTGCCAAAAAGCAGTTACTCAAGAAACTGGATATGATTTTGGAAATTTTCAGACATTTAAGCTAGCATCCACTAGCTTTCGTCAGTGACTGAGAGACCAGAGGGGAAATGCAGGTTTATAAGCACAAACTATAGAGTTGCCTGAGTAACTGTTTTTTGGCAAATCGTATTTCCTGGATGTCTAACATTCATCGACGTAACTTCACTATTCAATGCAGAAAGCTAGTCTTGCCACCATGGAATCAGACCCACAGGTGCTTCAAAACATGGGAAATCAAAACCAACTGTTCTGCTGCAGTAAGATATTAAACACTAGTTGCTATAGTATACTGTATACTACAATCTAAAATATACATGGAGCTAATTTTCTTGAATTAGACTTCTTCTTTTCAGATAGTAGAACACAGATTTACCAACTCTTTTTTCAAAAGGTGGGTTCTTTAATCTCTATTGAATAGTAGAATGATTTTTCATGGTCAGAAATTGGGAGAAAGCTAAAGGATGTATTTGAGACATGTGGAAAAATAATTGGTCTTTCCATCAACGTAAGATGAACTGCTAGAGACGGAATGACTTTCCAACAAGACACGACTCTGTGCACTACATCAAGTTGGAATTTGACAAATGAGTTTGTAAATTTAAAGCAATATATGAGATAAAAGTTAACCTTCTCCCTGCTGCCTAACCCTGTAACCAGTAGTAGAAATGAAATACTGGAATTTGACGGATGAGTTCCTAAATTTGATGCAATCTGTGATTGCTAACAAAAGCTAAAGGTTAACCTTCTCCCTGCTGCCGAACCCTGTAACCAATAGAGAATTTGTAGCCAAACAGCTACTTCAGTGTGCTAAAGGTTAACCTTTTCCCTGCTGCCTAACCCTGTTACCAATAGAGAATTTGTAGCCAAACGGCTACTTCAGTGTACTAAAGGTTAACCTTCTCCCAGTAGCAAAAGAACTCACCTTAGTCTATAGGAATTTGATGAATGAGTTGGTAAACTCAAAGCAATCTGTGATCGCTAACAAAAGCACACTCACTCATCACACTTGTCGTTTTTCTCATAAAGATCTGTGGAACAAGAGATGGGAATGACACAAGTCATCTATCATGATAAGTACCAAACTCTGTTACAGGTTCTGACTTAGGGCTGGAAATACTGGGTGCATGTGCACCTTAGTGCACCCAAATTTGGAGCTGTGCACCCAATTTTTTTCTGTGGATGCACCAGTGCACCCAAATGTTTTTTGTAGGTTTACGTATATGTCAAGATGTTAGATTTAGCGTAGTACTAGTATTCAGCATATTCTTAACATCTAAGTGTCAGAAAAATAGTAAAATCATTCTTGTAGTACTTGTCTTTTTTACTCTGTTAGAGATTCTGACTGCATCAGTTTGTTGACTCTACAGGGCTTGAAATTCATTTTTGGGAATAGGTGCACTGGTGCACCCAACCTAAACAATTGGGCGCACAAAAAATATTTTAGGTGCACCATGTAAGATGAAATAAGTATGTGTTTATAAAAACTATGATTATGTACTATAAAACAATTATTGTATTATTTTTTCTGACACTTAGATGTTAAGAATATGCTGTAACTACTATATATTTAATATCTTTACATACGTTAAACCTTAAAAACAGCAATTTCAGCACCAAGGAGAGGGATGAAATACAAGTAATTTTAGTACAAATATTTCACAAAAACTGCTACAAACCCAGATTTTGGGCAGACACATTACGTTCTGCCGATGCGCTGGGTTCACATGAATATCAGAGACTTCTTCCATTTTGTTAATCAGAACAGAAATCTGTTTCCTACGAGCTGGATTCAAACCCGGGACCTCTTGGTTGTGAGCCGAGCGCGCTACCGACTGTGCCACACGACCCCACGATATGCTGTGTTTGCCTGAATGTCAGGGACTTCAGAAAATCCATCATCCATTTTGCTAATCAGGACAGAAAATCTTGTTCCTACAAGCTGGCTAACGATGTTACCTATCGTAGCATTTGGGGCTATCAGAGGATGCCTAGGCCTGTTTTTATTTTTTCTGAAAAAATCCAAGACCCAATAAATTAAATTGCTGTGGCCTATGCTGGGTTTGCATGAATATCAGAGGCTTCAGAAAATCCATCATCCATTTTGTTAATCAGAGCAGAAATCTTGTTCCTACAAGCTTTAAGCAGGATTCGAACCCGGGACCTCTTGGTTGTGAGCCGAGCGCACCACACGACCCCACGATATGCTGTGTTTGCATGAATGTCTTCAGAAAATTCTTCATCCATTTTGTTAATCAGGACAGAAATCTTGTTCCTACAAGCTGGCTAACAAAGTTACCTCCACTCTGCTGATTCAATTTACTGCAGATCTAAACCTGTCAGGCTCAAATTATCATGGCAATCTCGTCTCATCTTTCAGTTCCGATAATATACGACTGGAAAATCAGCTTGAAAACAAAATCTGGGGGGAAAAGACTCTTCACACATTGTCAGGGAGTGAATATACAGTATGTCATTCAAGTTTCATAATTCTGCTACCAGGAATATATAATATGTAAAGTAATTTACAGTAGGCACATAGCCACACCAAACATTTCACAAAAACTGCTTTTGCGTAGAACTGGAAATCAGCATGAAAACAAAGTCTGGGGGGAAGTCTGTTCACACATTATCATTTCATTTTTTATTTATTTAGTAATTTCATGGGTTTACATGTTGCCATGTTGGCAATTTTCAATGCTCCCTGCATATAGAGAACAAAATATATAGTAAAAAGGTAAGGTATATATTAACTTCACTGCAAACATTTTGTCACAAACATAAGGCCATATACATCAACTTGAAATAATTACAGCTTCAGTTTATTAGAAGTGCTAGACATTCTGTACATATTTTGCTTTCATCTGATTTTGCTTTTATTTGGCTTTGATTTTGAGTAAATTTCAACCCCCAGACATCTATTTTCATCATGATTAATCATTTAATTGTCTCACTCAATAAAGGATCAGAGTTGTACTTGGCGGTGACATCTTTATTCATGCGTCGGTGTGTCAGCGTTACACCCAAGATGTCAGGCCTAGTGCCATTTAGCTCCTAGGCAGAACGATCAACAAGGTAGTGGAAGGGTGGAACAACAATATGTGAAATAGGGTGCTCAGTGAATGAACAGTAACAATAAAGTCGTGGACAAGACTAGTTGGTTCGTTCTCCGCCCTGAGATATAACTTCACAAATATATACAATACATACGAGGCTGTGAGCGGCATTTACGCCGAGGAAACTCTGACGCTAACGAGGATGACTGAGGCACTCGGGCCTACTACCCAACTTGATACAAACGTTTAAACTCAATAAAAGACAAGTTGAGTATTGTACTTCGTAATTGTTAAATCTGGTAGGCTAGAAACTAGTCATGGCATTAATAAAAGATAGACAACTAGTTAAAATAAACAAGGTCAAGATGCCACTAATACAATCCATTGCTCCCAGAAAACGGTTGGTTAAAAACGTCAAGAATGTGGCATAAAAGAGGACTAGATTTGTTCTCGAACTCGCTTCGGTAGATGTGATAGTAATATCACTAAGCGACAGTTGTCTGAGCAATTTTAAAATAATCTAGCCGCAGCCACATAGCTCGGGATTGAGAATAATACCTTGACATGAAGTGACGCTACTCTAGGTAGGCTACATCTAGTTAACGGTGCAGGGTACAGGTGCACACAATGTGTGAATGTGACGAAACTAACATGAAATAACTACAGTCTGTTGTGGGGATGGCGGTGGTACTGCCGCGCTGCGTGACGAACTGCAGAATGAAGGATTGTCCGTGCATGTCCCGACAAGCTCTCTTCGGGGTCACGTGTTGGAGATTCGTTGTCTCGCGAGAGTTTTCGTGCCAATTCCATCATATGGTAGCACCATCTGAACATAATTGTCTCACTCAATAAAGGATCAGAGTTGTACTTGGCGGTGACATCTTTATTCATGCGTCGGTGTGTCAGCGTTACACCCAAGATGTCAGGCCAGACCGAAGGCGCCAAGAAGACTCTGATGGGGGTTGTCAGGAACGCTGCAAGATGAGGGACCGCATCCCCGCGAGTACACGTAGCCGTCACGTAGTCGTTCAACTGACGGCCGAAGTTACAAACGTTCCGCATCGGCTCTCCGGCGTGAGCCGCGACCCGAAGTGACATGTCCTTCGACTCCCGGCAGGTGCTGATCAACAGACAAACGAGGAGGATGACGATCGAAGCCGCTCCTCTCATCATGTGACGGTTGGGAGAGCCCGCCACCGTAGTTGGCGAGGGCTTCAGATCTGTGTACTGCAGAGAGATGCTCGCCGTCGTGTTTGATGAGGGCTTCAGAGCTGGGTACTGCAGAGAATGCTCGCCGTCGTGTTTGATGAGGGCTTCAGAGCTGGGTACTGCAGAGAGATGCTCGCCGTCGTGTTTGGTGAGGGCTTCAGAGCTGGGTACTGTAGATGATTGCTCGCCGTCGTGTTTGGTGAGGGCTTCACGAGCTGGGACTTCAGAGGAATGCTCGCCGTCGTGTTTGGTGAGGGCTTCACGAGCCCTGGGGTACTGGCCTAGAGAGATGCTCGCCGTCGTGTTTTGTGAGGGCTTCAGAGCTGGGTACTGTAGATGATTGCTCGCCGTCGTGTTTGGTGCGGGCTTCAGAGCTGGGGACTGCAGAGGAATGCTCGCCGTCGTGTTTGGTGAGGGCTTCAGAGCTGGGTACTGCAGAGAGATGCTCGCCGTCGTATTTGGTGAGGGCTTCAGAGCTGGGTACTGCAGAGAGATGCTCGCCGTCGTGTTTGGTGAGGGCTTCAGAGCTGGGGACTGCAGAGGAATGCTCGCCGTCGTGTTTGGTGAGGGCTTCAGAGCTGGGTACTGCAGAGAGATGCTCGCCGTCGTGTTTGGTGAGGGCTTCAGAGCTGGGGACTGCATAGAGATGCTCGCCGTCGTGTCTGGTGAGGGCTTCAGAACTGGGGACGGTAGAGGGATGCTCGCCGTCGTGTCTGGTGAGGGCTTCAGAGCTTGGGACTGCAGGGGGATGCTCGCCGTCGTGTCTGGTGAGGGCTTCAGAGCTGGGGACTGCGGAGAGATGCTCGCCGTCGTGTCTGGTGAGGGCTTCAGAGCTTGGGACTGCAGGGGGATGCTCGCCGTCGTATCTGGTGAGGGCTTCAGAGCCGGGGGCTGCAGAGGGATGCTCGCCGTCGTATCTGGTGAGGGCTTCAGAGCTGGGGACTGCAGGGGAATGCTCGCCGTCGTATCTGGTGAGGGCTTCAGAGCTGGGGACTGCAGAGGGATGCTCGCCGTCGTAGTTGGTGAGGGCTTCAGAGCTGAGGGCTGCAGAGGAATGCTCGCCGTCGTAATTGGTGAGGGCTTCAGAGCTGGGGGCTGAGGCGTGGACGACCTGATGCAGGAAGCTGGGTCCGTCCTGGTCTGAGCCTGCTGCTGAGCGAAACCGGGAACTGGTCGATGAGGTTAGATCAGCTGCACTCCGTGTCTGTGTGGCAGGAAGCTCAGGTGTAGAAGGCTGGTCACTGTTCACCGTCTTCGTTGGTAAGGGCTTCGGAACACGTAAGTGGGTCTGCATGCTCGCCGTCTTTGCTGGTGAGGGCTCTGGAGCATGGCAGTGGGTGTACATGCCCGCCGTCTTTGCTGGTGAGGGCTCTGGAGCATGGGAGTGGGTGTACATGCCCGCCGTCTTTGCTGGTGAGGGCTCTGGGGCATGGGAGTGGGTGTACATTCCCGCCGTCTTCGCGGGTGAGGGCTTCGGAGCGTGGGAGTGGGTGTACATGCCCGCCGTCTTCGCTGGTGAGGGCTTCAGGGCATGTGGGTGGAGGCACGCGCTCGCCGTTTTGTCTGGTAAAGGCTTCAGAGCGGATGGGTGCTGAAGAGGGTTCTCCATCTCAGAGGGTGGGGGATTTGGTTCATGATCTGATGAACACGAATCTGTTGCTGAGGCAGTCAGTTGTAACAACGGGCTAGGTCTGCGTGTGACGTTTGCAGTCATCATTAGTGGGGATTGACTGGCGACGCCCGCTGTAGAAGGCATCTGCGTAGTCCTATGTCCATTCCAAGTCGATGCCGGGTTTATCAGTTCTGAAGTCTGGACTGGGCCTAGTCAGGCAAGAGTGTCCCTTGCGACTGCGTGGTTGCCCTGTCGGCCGCGGTCCCGGTTATAAGGACAGAACTTGGCAGGGTGTCCAGCATCAACCCCAGGTCTGTGCCTGGCACAGAACTTGCAGGCATGGACGTGAAGGGTACCAGAAGCGGCTATGTGATCTGCAGAGAAGGCACAATTGTTGGCCTGGAATCTGTAGCAATACGTGCTTCTTGAGCCCCCTGCTCTCTCAACTGGTGTGGCATGCCCATGTCCTGCTTGTCCGTCACTGCTGTTGTGGTTGCGGGGGGGTCGTCGCAAATGTTCCTCCTTCAACTTGTGTACTTCTGATAAGGTAGTAGTGCTGTCTATGGTGACCAGGCCGTGCTCTACGTGTATAAACAGAATCTTGTAGAAGTTCTTAATACCAGGAAAGGAATAGGTGGGAACGTCGAGCATGAGCCCTTTCAAAATATGGCCCCTGTTTTGACTCTCCATGGGATTTGTATGGGGACTTAAAATGATGGCCATTTCGCCAGCCACAAGTTGATCTAAAGTCAGTGAGTCATGAGTGATGGTGGTGTTGGCGGAGAAGACGAATTCGTGCGGCCAGTTCACTTCTCGAACTACTCTGTCATGTGCTTTTCTCGAAAGACCGCTACTGAGCTTCTTACCTTGGGCCGGCGGGTGCGCGTCTTCGTCAGAGACGTGTTGAAAGTTGAACTGCATCGGACGTCCGTCAGAGCTTCGGATCGCATCGGCGACGTGAGTCCCGCCTGTCTGCCTCGGAAAATGCTGTGTGAAAGTGGACGGGTCGTTATGCGCCTTGTGAAACGCCCGGACCTCACGCAAGGTTGGATAGTGGCCATCCGGTGGGGCTATGGACTTAGGAGCTCTTGTTGAAAGGCGCTGGTGGCGGCCATCTTGAGGATCTTGCGCAAGGGCTTCTGGGATGATCGACCTCTGACCGATGACGTCGCCGTGCGTGGGGAGGGGGGTAGACGTGGATTCCGTCCGGTTTTCCAGGCCCATGTCGACCTTCATTTGCTCTATCCGTCTGGAGACGTCTAAAATTTCGTTGTCTAGCTGCTCCGCGAGGTTGTCTGTTGGAGTCGAAAGCCATTCAGGGTCGTCCTCCGCAGGAGACGCGGCGTACCGCGCAGGGAGTTTAATCTTTCTCTTGCCGGCTCCAAACATGGTCGGGGGATAAAACTCGGGACGGAGAGAGTTCCGAGGGGCCAGGTAAACCCAGGGGAAGGAAAAAATATGGAAAACTAGAGTCCGAGTGGTCTAAACCGGGGAGGCGTCTCTGAAAAGCGCGGGAAGTTGCAGCACACGTCCGTCTCTGTGAGCGCTATTACCAACGTTACTGCCGCGCTGCGTGACGAACTGCAGAATGAAGGATTGTCCGTGCATGTCCCGACAAGCTCTCTTCGGGGTCACGTGTTGGAGATTCGTTGTCTCGCGAGAGTTTTCGTGCCAATTCCATCATATGGTAGCACCATCTGAACATGATTTTGATCTGACTTTAATTTCATTTGATTTTAATTCTGTTTTATTTCCTTACTTTGATTCTAGGCGTTTTCATGTTGACCTGTTGCTGAGAACCATGTAATTAAATTGGTGTGGCCTGAAACGCCCCCAGTTTTGCTTCACCCCCAGTTTTATAACCTTGACATCTGAAGCCACAAAGTCGTTCTGTTTGGCAAATTGACTCTTTGCTTGCCCTGACCTCGCTTAAATCAGTTTCTCCGACAGAGAAACATCACCCCGCAACTCGTTATGATCCGAAAACAGAGGAACCGACCAAATAGAATCACTCAAACCTCTCTTCTACAGCCCCTCAAGGACTCATTTTGCCTCCGCCCGCCTCCCTGAATCATACCAGCCTCATTATTTACCGGAGGTTACGCAAATTGTGGCTTTGAGAGTTGCTGCTTGCCTGTCTGATCTTCCTCTTTCAATTTGAGGCAGCTGCCTTCAACTAGCTGAAGATTCTGCTGCGTTTTAAGTGGTTAGTACGAGACGGGGTTCGCCAGGCCTCCATCCAGGTGATTTGTAGAGAATTGCCAACTCCCAGACAGTGAGAGTTTGTGCCATTGCACACCGGGGCATGCCCCTACGCTTTTTCGAAAGGTGTGGTGGGTTCTTTAAGGTGTGGCTCTCCCCAAACACTAAAAATTCTCTTCTACAACTCTTCAAGGACTCATTTTGCCTCCGCCCACCTGACTGAATTCTACCAGCCTCATCATTTAGCTTAAGTTACGCAAATTGTGGCTTTAGGAGTCATAGCTTGCCTGTCTGGTCAATTTGGCAGTAAGATAAAATTTGCCAGTGGAATGGTTTAACTAATGAGTAGAATGTTTGTCTTGTGTTGGTAGATCTGTCTCATCTGTTGAATTGTCCTGTAACAAGTAACACACACACACACTCACTCACACACACACACACAGACACACACACACACACTCACTCACACACACAGACACACAGACACACACACACACACACACAGACACACACACACACACACACACACACACACACACACACACACACACACACACACACACACACAACAATACCATTTTTTATGTAGTCTGGCCAATAACAGTACAGCAGGCATAACAAATGAAGGCACTCAGGCAACATCAGTTTATACCAACAAATCGGTTGATACTGGCAACATAAAATCTGTAAGAGGGCCCAGACTGTAATAGCCATATAGTATGTCCCAGGGGAGGGACTACATATGTGCCCCAGGATGTGGGCCATGATGGAATAGATCGTTAGGCCAGGGAAACATATGTTGTGTTTCCTGGTTCAGTTCGGTAGGTAGGGAACTTGAACATAATATATTAACACACTAGTGAGTGACCTGTACTCGTGTATGCTTTGCACTCCAAAATATAGTAGTGCTTTTGTAACTGTACAATAATCAGGTCCAGGTTTAGGTCCGGACCTGGACCTGATTCTCTGAACTCGATCCGGACCTGGACCTGAATTTTCTATACAGGTACTCACCCCAAGGCGGTCGGGAAACAGGAAACACAACATTTTTTACCTAGGCCTGAGTGTAATGATATCATATACATGTGTCTGGGACATGATAGAATACATCCTTACAGCTCCAGGGAGCTCTCCGATCTGTGTTCTGTCAAGCCTGTTATGTTCATGTCTCCTCTGGGGGTTTGTAAACCAAGTGCAGCTGGCAGTTAAGGGCACAGCAGTGGGCATGGGCAGTTTAAATCTTCTCTGCAGGGCTGGAAATTCAACTATAAGCAGGGATTGAAATACTTTAAACCCTTGTCCTGCTGGCATTACACATATTTTTCAATAATTTCATGTCTTAATCAGGTACAATGCCATAGACCCCTGACTTTTTTTTGCTATGCTCTGCTCTGCATTCGTTGCGTTTTGCTGCGGTGTGATGCGTTGCACGAGAAACACCCCCAAATCGGACCTATACAGGGTGCTATATAGATGGTACTGTATGTGCAGAACAACAATTGTTGGGCTCCGCAGGACATTAGTTAACATTGGAAATTACCTGCACTAGACCTTTTATGTTCAGAGCTCGTCTGGGGGTTTGTAAACCAAGTGCATCTGGCAGTTAAGGGCACAGCAGGTACACAATGTAGGCTGGAGGAGTTTAAATCTTCTCTGTAGGGCTGGAAATTCAACTACTGTAATTCCTGATTTTTTCACTGTACTGTAACAGTTATTTTCACCGTTTTCACTGTCACTTCTGTACCGTGAACTTCATATGAGTACAGTTAACAAATAATTCTTGGACTCTCTTTTTCCTGCACCTGTCGCCAGCCTAATTCAGGATAGGCTGTTGCATTATTCTGGGGTCTGAGTGTCCTTCAGTTGTCGTCTATTTCCTTTTCAGCATTCGTCTGTGTAGAAACAAATTTGATAAAGCAAATCGATTCTTTGCTGGCTGTAAGAAGATATGCTCTATCTTATCACTCATCTGTTACTGGGCTCTATCTCTGAAGCACAGGAAAGGCAAGCTTTGTTGCCGATTTCACACTCTTGTATGGCAAGGCCACTTCAGTTTAGGCCACACCAATTTGATTTGTTGGTTCAAAGATTTTTTTTTAAATATGGTTAACTAGAAAAAACTAATGAAAGCAAAGTCTGAGGACCTGGTTGATGCCTCGGTGGACTCAGTGTTATGTAGTAAATACACTGTCATATTCTAGTTTTCTTCCTAGCCCTCTCATTTTATGATGTCTGCTTGCTATCTTTTGAACTAAAAATGTCCAAGAACCAACAAAATGAACTGGTGTGGCCTTAGGTCCAGGAAAAAATGTTGTGTTTCCTGTTTCCGTCCTGCAAAATTAGGGTTGGTAGGTAGGGACTATGCTGAACTTCTTATTTTTCCCAGTCAAGCACCTACAATGTAGTATTCACATGCTCCAAGCTACCTGGCTTTAGGCGTCACGAGCAAGGAGAGATGAAAATGAAATGCAAACCAGTTGGTGGAATGAATGCTCCAGACAGGGGAGATGAAAAGGTCAACAGTATATCAAAAAGGAGATGTCTGAAACACTCAGCTTTGGAGAGGAAGAGAAGCGTGGAAAGGTTACTGGTTATTTCTGTTTTGCCATGGGTCAATGCAGAATACTATAATAGCTGGTCCGTTTTCCACTGGTTTTCACCGGAAGGGCAGACCTACTCCAGTACAGTTCACCTGTCAGGTTTATAATTTACAGGTTCAAGACTTTGGGCTTCAGGCATCACAAAGCTTTGGGCAGCACCCAAAAGCAAAGTGAATAGAAACAAAAATGAAGTGCAGACCTGTCCATTTTCTACTAGTTTTTATGGGAAGGGCAGATTCAGTCAGGTACAGTTCACCTGTCAGGTTTATAATTTACAGGTTCCTGGGCTTCAGGCTATTTGCAAAGGTTTGGGCTTCAGGCAATTTGCAAAGGTTTGGGCACCACCTAAAAGTCTAGCAGGGCAAGAAGAAAGGAAAATGAAATGCAAACCTGTCTGTTTTCCACAGGCTGTGACAGAAAGGGTCTGACCCAGTCAAGTACAGTTCACCTGTCAGGTTTATAATTTACAGGTTCAAGACTTTGGGCTTCAGGCAATTTGCAAAGGTTTGGGCACCACCCAAAAAGGTTGAGCAGCACCCAAAAGACTTAGAGAAGCCGGGAAAAATGAAGGACAAACCTGACATTTTCCAGTGGCTGTGACACCAAGGGCAGACCCAACAGGGCTTGAAATTTATTTTTGGGAATAGGTGCACTGGTGCACCCAAGCTAAAAAATTAGGTGCACAAAAAATGTTCAGGTGCACCATATAAAACAAAACTTAATTACAGATCTTACTGCTCCTCTTCTGAGCTTGAATCTAAAATGGCAGCTAACTTAAAACCCATTAATTATAACCACTGGCAGGTACTACAGGGGTTAATAGTCATGTGGGAACCAAGAAACTGCATTAGTGTGGCCTTAGTCCCAGGTTTGGCTCCAGCCCAAATTGCAGGACATGTCTGACGATGATCGGAGAAATTCCCCGTCTGGAATTAATAGAAAGAGCAGCTCCACAAACGGCTGCAATTTGCCACCTGAGCGAGCAGGGCAGTTTGTAATGGGAAACACTGGCCTGTCACCTGGTCATAGTGCATCATCGAGGGGCTCAAGACAATGGAGTGTCTTAAAGATTCATGACCTTTCTCAAGACACTTTAACCTGACAGGTAAATACCTCATCAAGACATTTCTTGAGACACTCAAGACTGTCTCCTAATCTCATCACTGCATGTCTCTGAAGACTGTCTCCAAACACTTAAAAGCTGTCTTCAAGTCTTACAGCCTGTCACCAGGCACTTTCACCTGTCCATAATTTATTATGCTGGGTCTCAAGACAATCTAGACTGTCTTCTAGACACTTAAAACTGTCTCCAGGCACTTTGACCTGTCAATAACTTATTATGGAGGGTCTCAAGACAATCTAGACTGTCTTCTAGACATCTAAACCTGTCTTCCAGTCACTTTAACCTGTTCATATATATAGGGGCTTCACATAATATTTACCCAAAGTATGTCTGTCTGCTGCTAACCTGCACTGGTCCATGGAAAAAGGGGGATGACAGAGAATGAACTGGTAGCTTTTCCATGCTTGACTCTACCATCCACAACTTGTCCTGGATGTCCTAACCATTATGGTAATATGTCTTCCAGCTAGTATCTAATATGTCTTCCTGCTTAAAAACCTACAGTGACCTATGGGAATGGACCTTTAGTCTTTCCACGCTTCTCTTACTCTCCAAAGCTGAGTGTCTCAGACATCTACCTTTTTGATATACTGGTGACCTTTTAATCTGTGTCTGAAGCATTCATATGTCACTGGACCTTTTAACTATTATAGATACACGTGTAGATGATAGGTAGTATATAACAGTTGTAATGTATAGATTCCTAGCAATTAGCATTAGAATATAGCGTTCCAGTATGCAATACTCATGTTTTGTATATTGCATGTCCTCTTGTGCATTTA